AAGTCTCAGCACTGTTAAGCTTTTGAGTTAGATTCCTGGCCAAGGAAGTGGCCCACATGGTGCAGCAGACTTCTATCTCTCCCATTGCTACATGCAGCAGTGTATTTCAGTAGATCTACCTGTTCTGCTCCCCACCCTGTCTCTGGTGAATCCCCTCATCACTCCTGCACCTCTGGCCTAACCCCAGTTCTGTATGCATAAATAAATAAATCCCAAAAAATATGTACATTACAATTTAGATTCCAAATATATGTATATGCCTGTGCACACATATAAGTGGAGAGGAAGATACAATTAAAATATTACTGATGCTTTTAATTTTTTCTGTAATTTAATCCCCTTACATTTACAGTTTATTAAGTATCCTATGTATGATGACTTTAATCTTGGTGCCTAAAAGCCTAACCAAAAAGGTATTAAAAAGAAGTGAGAGCAAGTCCTCCTTGATGGTGAAAAGGGTTAAGACTCAACAACTATCAATCTATTATTGCCACTGCAGCACAAATTCGATCCCCAGCCAGGGAGGTGACTCACATGGCGCAGCAGATCTCTCCTATCTCTCCCACTGCCCCCATTGTTCAGCAGTATATTTCACTCAATCAGCCTGTTCTGCTCCCCACTCTGTGTCTGGTGAATCCTCTCACCCCTGCACCTCTGGACTATAACCCAGGTCTTGTATGCATAAATGAATAAATCTTAAAAAAAAAAAAAGTGAGAATGATACAGATGCTGTAGATCATGGTGAGCACCGGGACATAGAATCATGTTGGAGAAAATGGAAAATAGGTCAGTGCTTTAGACCATGACAGTCTTTACAAAATTAAATATACTCGTACCATGTGATCCAGTAATCATGTTCCTTGATATTTACCCAAAGGAGCTGAAAACATGTCCACACAAAAATCTGCACATATGTGTTTATAGTAACTTTGTTCATAATTGCCAAAACTTGGAAGTAATCAAGGAACCTTCTGTAGATGATGGTTAAATAAACTGTGATGTCGCCAGACGGTAATGTCATGGAATGAGCTATTAAGCTATTCAAAGGCATGAAGAAACTTTGCATATTAGTAAAAAAGAGAGATTTTAAGTTATGTGACATTCTGAAAAAAGTCTCCAGAGACAGTAAAAAGAATGATAGTTAGAGGTGGGATCAAGAATGAATGAGTTGTAGAAGAGAGAGAATATGGAAGGCAGTGAAAATACACAATATAAGCCTACAATGGGATATACCCATCATCCTACAATGGGGTATACGCATCAGTACACCATTGTCCATGCCCACCTGCTTCCTACCTCCAAGAATGAACTTTAATGTAGGTCCATTGATTATAACAAACACACATATGTGTGGGAGGGAGTTGTTGGCCATGGGGAGGGTATTTATGTGTGGAGAAGAAGCTTTTCTTTGTACTTTCTCCTCAGTTTTCTTGGGGAACTAAAACTACTCTCAAATTATATAAATTCTTTAAAGAAAAAAATAGGTGTGAAAATCATTTAAAAATAGGAAAATAAAAATGGGATAAGATTAGTGCCCAAAAAATGTAAATGTTTTATATGTCATACCTAAGGCTAAAAATGATTTTAATTCTGAATTTTGCTCAAATTCTGTGAGTTTGCTTTGAGCTTTCCAGAAAACTTGTCTAAAATTTCAAAGTATTCAGAGAATAGAAAGTAGTATATTCAAGGAAAAACATAGTCAATTTTGGTATTAGGAGCCAAAAGAAATCTATGTGTCTTTAGAAAAGGAGGACACGAAGTGTATAATATTTCCACAGCAGCCTGGCAGCAATACAACCATGGTTTATACCTCTATTTCTTTGGGCTAGAAATGAGCTATATGAAAACCAAAATATATTCTGGGGTGAAGATGGTCATTTATGGTGGGTAATATAAAATGGCCCAGATGGATTCCAAGTTCTATATGGTTCTAACTTATATTGCAAGTTGAGGTAGCTGCATAAAAGACTAGATAAGGGACAGATCTGCCTGGTGTGTGTCCATTCACAGTCCATCTCCTGCTGAACCTTGAAAAGTCTTAAGATCTGATAAATTCTGGATTCTTTTCTCCTATGAGAAACTATTCTAGATGGTGAAAGAAAGATACTTTAACAGAAGCCAATCTACTTATACAAGAAGGGGTTCAAGGAAGAATTTGTAAAAGTTGACCCAAAACCTGGGTCAAAGTTGTCACCCAGAATTAATTCTGGTTCTAAGCGAACAAACCAATGACCAGTAAAGGTCCCCCAACTTTCTACACTAAGGTGTCTAGAGTGGTGACCCCCCTAAAAAATTGTAAATTCAGTGTAGCCAATTATTTATTGTAGATTATTCTCACACACACACACACACACAATTTATTAACAATCAGAACCTGTCACATACCAATGTAAATTTAAGATGTCCCACCTAATTAAAAGATTTTCATGATCAATTCAGAGATAAATGAAAGCATTAATGGGCTGTTTAAAGCAGTCAGTATATAAACTGAATAAATGATGTGGAGCATCTAACCCAAAATGATGAAAATATTTCTAGAATACTTGATTGCCTTTTATTTTTCCTTGGTAGTAATTTAACAGCACAGTTAGTTATAGATTAAGTTCATTCCACTTCATGACAATAAAACCATGCCATCTGCATCTATAATGATGTCCTTTTTCTGCTTGCTATAAGGAAGGAATGCACATGAGCTAAATGAAGGCAATCCAGAGTAATTAAGATAAAGGGAAAAAATATATGTTTTACCCTCCTGGAAAAGTGACCTACACTATGAATGTATTGTTTCTCCTAAGCCTGGACTTCAAAAGAGTTCTGTATAAACATTAATAAATATGGTTCTCTAAGAGCATGATCACTGCCTTGAGGTTTTTACTGTCTTGAAAACAGATTGAAGTCACTTAGAGTAACCATATATTATATTTCATTCGAACGAGGTGATAAGGAATGTAACTGAAGAGTTACCATAGAAATGAAAAGATTATGAGAAAATGGGAAATAGCGTTCAGTCTATCCTTGTAAATTCCTGTTGGTTGAAGCTGCTGAGAAATGAAAGGAAGCATCATAAACTTAGGAGATGCTTCTATTTAAAGATAGCAGCCTATTTGCTGGTAAGTGAGACAACCCTCTTAAGATTGTCAGATAAAGTGTAAGATGCTCAAATATATTTTTATTTCAGGTATTTTTTAAATGTAAGTATATCTAAAATGCTACATGGGGATTACTTATACTAAAAAAAATATTTTGTTCATCTGAAATTAAAATGTAACTCGGCATATTCCATTTTTTTTCCAAATTGGAAAACTTTATCTCTTAGAACACTTAAATTTTCATAAAATGGAATTGCAAAGAGTGTGTGTGGAAGTTAATTGGTCGAAGCAGTAATAAAGTAAAAAGTTTAAATAAAAATCTGCTCAAAAGAAGGTAAATGAAAACAACCCACATGCCTCACAAAGACTGACTAGATAAAGAAGATGTGTCATATACATAATGGAATACTACTCAGTCATAAAAAAGATAGAACTGTACCATTTGTGATAATATGAGAGACCCTGAGAGAATTGTGCTAAATTATATAAATCAGAAGCACAAAGTCAACTACCATATTATTTCACTCATATAAAGAAATGAGACTAATGGAAAAAAAAAGCAAAACTTTAGATTCTGACAACAGAATGATGGTTACTAGAGGCAAAGTAGGGTAAGGCAAACAGGTACAGACCCTATCAGTTGGTGATGGATAACAATCAGACATTTGATGGTGGCCATGGTATGATAAAGGTGGTGACTTTGGTGTAAACTTCTATCCCTTAAATATAAACAGTATTGTAGAATTACCTCAACAAAAATAAACAAATAGAAAGTAGAAGTGATAACATTGGCAAAGCAAATGATACTGAAGTATGAACTAGAATGTCTGATAAGGATCTGCAATGAAGAGAAAGCCAACCTGCCTTGACAACAGTGTGGAAAATTCTGAGCTGGGAAACATGGAGAGAAATTAATACAAAGTCTCCAGTGTGAAAAGCTGGTATCCTGTTTCCCAACACCTATACATCACTGCAGACATCAAAGCCTTTACATCTCCTGAGACATTCATAAAAACCACTATAACAATAAACATCTTCTGTAAAGAAATTGAAAGACCTGTTTGGTACAAATAAGGTAGTGAAGAGAGAGTGCTTCCCCTTACAATGGAACTGGTTTCTCAACATCTCCCTCCAAAGCAAAGCCTTTGAACAGTCATGTTCTCAGAGATCTGTTTCAACTTTTCTCCCTGGCGTATACTAAGCACTCACCCCAATCATATTACGATTATCACTGTAAAGGTCTTGCTACTAGAACAGTAAGTCAGCAGGCTCAGAAACAGACTGCAGGAACATCCTGGGCTGGTAGCTGTACAGAGAAGAGGAGATTGTTCAAGCTCAGTTTTTGTTTCTCCTGAAAAACAAGCAGAAATTCAAAATAGATTTTATCCTGATGGATGTCTCTGTGTTTCACTGGAAATTTTTCAGTGCTTTAGTTCTTGAGAAATTAAAATTGGGAGAAGATATTGTTAGGGGTGGGGCAGGAATCCTAACATTATTACCTCAGTTTTTATTGTTGAGCCACCATATACCAGATTATTGTCTCATAAAAGAACAAGAGCCCCTTGACTACTCTGGGGAAATTCAACAGGGAGGTCTTGTAACATTAAAAGCCTTTATCAAAAATATTCTCACTGGTTAACCAAATGTTTCTATTGTGTCCATAATTAATCAACACTAAAGAAAGGTCCAGAGGGGTATAGACCCTTGGCAATCTATTAACAAATATGTGTGTAATTAAATTCAGTCCTTTCCAGGTGTTTTATTTTTTCTTTTTGCATGAATATTTGTAAATAAGACTTCACTGTTGATAAAATTATTTAAAGAAAGCATGGAAAGGGGTGAAGACAAAGCATAGCTTTTTGAATTAGGTGAGATTTTTAGCTCATTGTTAAATAACTCTGTCCTCTGCAGCTCCATAAAGACTCACTGAAAGAAGCAAGCTTTTTCCTGAGAGAACAATGGGTGAGAAATGAATGTGCAAGAGATGGGTAGAACAGCTGCATCCTTTAGAAGCCAGCCCTGCAAAGTGACACTGGATATTTCAGAAAGCTGTGGCCCACCGACAGCCCCAGCCTGCGGACCTACTGTGGGGGACACCCCAAAACAGCAAATGAAGCGAGAGTATGCACCTGAGACCTCTGAGAATTTTACACTTAGCAAAAACATGGTGATTTCATTCTGAAGCAGGAAGAAATTGCTGAGTGGCAGACACTGGACATTCTAGGTAGGAAGGGTTTAAAATCATCCATGACTTGTTTGCAAAGCTCCCTCCCTTCATTAATAGAAGCAATTTCTTGACTCCTATTACTAAGGTCATGAAGCTTTTCCTACCAACATAGACCCCTGATGAAAGATCTATAGTAATATTGCGAGTGATCAGGAATGTTAGTAAAAAAGAGGCTGTGGAAACAAATAAGGAGCGAATTTCCTTGGAAATTTGAAGAGCCAGTGGTTTTGTTTGTTAGTTTTGTTTTTAATCTCATTTAAGCTAAAGGTTTTGCAGAAGCAAAGGTAGATTCTGACAATTGTGAAATACAAGACTCCACACCTGTCGTATTTAGTATCTTACATGTTGGAGGGTAGTGGGCCACTCACTAGATTGGGGGAAGATCGGAGCAGCAAGAATCAAGGGCAGGAAATCTATTCCCACTGCCTCATGCTGACCTCATGACTTGGAATGCAGTGGAAGGATGTGTGAGGTCAAGCTAGACTTTGGTAGCACAATGTGTGCTCTCTCTCTGCCCATGCATGCCAAAACCCATTCTAACCCTATAGACTGAGAGGTGAAAGAGTTCCCAGTTACCCGGATGAAGTCCTCTTAGATCTGTCTGTCGTCTTTGATTCTGCGATTCTGTAGCAGGCCAGCAGAACCACTTACACCCAGATTTATCAGACCATAAATGTGTGTCTGAGCCCAGTTCAGGCCAGAAGACCTGTTGATTCATGAGCAGTAGTAAATGCTTAGGATTAAACTCACTGAAATTTAGTTGGCTTGTTACATAGCAATAGCCATTTGACAAGGGAGAGCTGTAGCAAATTAGGACACAAAATGATCAGACTGAGATTTCCTTCATTTTTATTACATTTATGTGGCCAAACTTACTGAAAGTTATCCAAAGCATGGAAAATAAATAAAAATATGTAAAGTCATCCCAGGAATCAGACTGAGAAGAGAAAGCAACTCTGCTACAAAGTTAAATCCTTTTCCAAGATCTGATGAGATCTATGTATTAAGGTAATATGACTTTAAGACAAAGTTACATCTTATAGGATTGCCTGCCAATGCACTAGTGGTTGTATCAATATATTGGAGGATAAAAGATTAAGTTAAAGTGCAAGGATAGGGCCCTCCCTGGTGGTACAGCAGGTTAAAGCACAGCACTAAGAAGCTAAATTCACTTTAGCATGAATTCGATTCCCGCCCCAGAGGTGACCCACAAGGTGAAGCAGACCTCTCCTGACCCGCCTGCTGTTCCCTTCAGCAGTATGCTTTGTCAATCAGCCTGTTCTGCTCCCCACTCTTTCTCTGGTGAATCCTCTTACTGCCCCTGCGCCTCTGGCCTATACCCCAATTCTGTATGTATTAATAAATAAGTCTTTAAAAAAATGCAAGGATAAACTAATTCAAGGATCATACCCTTTTTGTAAGAATCATTCAATGTAAGGGGAGAAAGAAAAGGAATTGGCTTATCTTTTGATACTGAAAATAAAATATCCTATCAATCTCTTTCATTGTATCAATATTGTCTCTATCCTAAAATGCAGATAAGGAAAATAAACTTCTGTCATCTGTAATTCAATTTCCTTCTCTAGGATGTTACTCTCAGTTACTTTTTCTCTGCATCAGACTCAAAATGCCCAATTTCTTCCTATCAGAAGCTCATGGGAAAACAAAAATATTAAGGGACTTCATTGAGATCTCATCAACATCTACAGAGAGTTACCTCCTTTCCTGGAATGTACCTCTTAAGGAAAAGTAATAGTACACATGCAATGAAATAGCTAGGAGGTGACAGACATGAGTTTTTCTTGACAAATGAAAGCATGTTGGTTATAATTCACTTTGACTGTGGATATGTGTGGTCTCTGCAGGACAAGCTCTGAAGGTTTCCTTCAGGTGAACAGGACACAGGTCCAGTTGTCCTGTCCTCCGGTTGGTGAAGCAACAAACCCTTGAATCCTCTTTTGGAGGATTTTATGTCTGATGGTATTTCCTAAATCCACCTCTCCTCCTCACTTTGAGAACCACAGGAATTATTGCTCCAAAATAAATTGAAAGGTTAGGAGAACAATTCTAGAATCCCTGCCATTCTTCACTGGTTGAAATCTTTTAGAAGATAAAGTAAAGCTTCCATTTCCTTTGTAGACAAGAGCCTGTTACTTCTTGGAAATGGCCAAATTGTTCTTGTCCTCATCATTCTTCCCTTGATCAAGAAGGAAGACTGGATGACATGGGTTTACAACACAACTAATAATTCAGGAGAACAAGTTCACATCCCAGATGCATGTCACTATATCACTCCCACCACCAGAGCCCTAACAATCTTCCTTCCTAAACCACCGGGGCCCCCCCTCCCTTTTATTCCAACCCCACTCTCCCTAACCTCCTAGAATGCTCAATTCTCCCATATTTGTCAAGCTAGTTTTGTCTGTTCTTTTGTTTTGTATCTTTATATGCCACAAATGAGTGAAATCATCTGGTGTTTGTGCTTGTCTTTCTCTTTCTAACTTATTTCATTTAGCATGATGCCCTCTAGTTCCAAACACAAATGTTCTCTCTCTTTTCTTAAAGTGATGCTGGATATTAAGTATACAACTTAAGACTTGATTACACTTGATACTGAAGTAGCTATTTATACAGAAATTCATCTTTCTGACTAGAGGCAATAAAGTTTCCGTTTTTTTCCATTAAAATGTCTCAACAGCCTATGTTACCTTTCATTATATCTCTCACTCTATCTGGCTCATTCCCTTTACTTATTCATTCCTTCTTTTGACTTGCATCGATTCATGGCTTAAAACAATTGATTTTTCTTGACTAGCAACCCCAGGAAAATAACTATCTGTGGTTTATAATAAGATTTATGCAAGAGTACATAAATCTGAACATTTCTTTTGATTTCCCATAGATAAATTGGTATATAATAGCTTCTAGAATTTCAGTCAAATGTCAAATTTATAGATAACCTATGGTCAATTTATTGCACTCTTTTCAGAATAAAGTTAGCATATCAGTAACCATATAAAAAATGGATATCTTACAGAAGCATTTATTTAGAAGCCATTACCTCTTCTTGAAGGAAAATGCACTATAGAACTTAAGTATCAAGTTAAGTAAGACTCCCTAACCTTAGATTTTTTGATTGTGAAGATACAGCAGCTGGTTTTGTGAGTGATTTTCTACTCTAGTCATTGTGTCAGAAGTGGAGAATAAGATGATGAGAAAGGAAGTTAGAAAAATGTAATGCTTAAATAGTTTTGCTCATCTTTAAATTCCAGTGGGAATTTAAATTCCAATTCTAGGGGATTGAAGCACACAATCTAAATTCCCTTTATATGGAAAAGTACTCCAGCTTTCTTGTTTTCAATATCCACATCCTGATATCATTTGAAAAGATCATTAATACACCCACTGACATAAAAGGTCTAAAAATGAACAGGCTTTGAGAGATGAAGCCAAGGAAGAGTGTTGGCTCGGAGAGACACCATTGTCTTTGACAGGGGGAGATGGTGACATCTGCCACCAAGGATGAGACTGCCTCACAGCTTCAAGTTTCAAGAGGTGACAGCACACCTGAGTCACAACCTGTGACTGAAGAGTATACTCTGCTGCAAGGTAAATTCATGAGAAACCTTTGTCCCACTCCTTCACTAAGCAAATCTTTTCCCTTCCAGGAAGTGCTAGGTTATTCCTACCTGGCATCAGTATTCTTTATTCTGCTTATTTGCTGATTAATACTTTCAGGGTAAGTGAAACTTATTAACTTCTACCAGCCAGGAGCAAATATTTTTGACTTCTCAGGATAAGTGACCAGAGAGATTAACGACTGTTGGCGATATCACACAGAGACCATACACATTCTACCATAATATTTACTTGTTTAACCTTAGTAGCTTATTTAATCATAAACATTTTGTCAAGGACAGAGACCAATGTCAACAAGGACAAATTTTCTATGAGGACTATTGTAAGCAGGATAAGGACAACATAGATAGTGTAATTTTCAGATAAGATACACGTGCTTCCTCAACAAGCTGTGATGGTCTCTTGCTTATCTTTACTAGAGACATAGAGAGGAGAGGAGTTATGAAAGCTGCTCTCCCTCCCCTAAAAGGGATATTTAATGAAGTCACCCTCTTCATCTTATGGAATTAGTTAGGTTTTCTATGACCCATGGAGCTGTGGTTTATATGGCAGAGGGTTAAGTGCCCAAAGAGTTGGGTATGTGATGAAGACATGAAGCCACTAATCTCATTAACCTGGAATCTGTCCACTTTCAATAGATCTTTCAATATCCAGTAAAAGCTTTTCCTTCTCATATATTTTCAGTTGAGTATTTTACTGCATGCATCTTAACATCTTCAAATTAGCTTTTCTTCTAACTCATTGTTTGTTTGACTCCTCACACTTTATGAACATTTTTCTATGGGGACATACTAGAGAAATGAAGATCCATTAACATCAAATTCACACTTTAACTATTTATTCAAAGATTTGATAAGCTAAAAGGGTAACATTATTGACCAAAAAGAATTTCAGGGATTAGGCTCTCCCTGGTGGTGCAGCGGGTTAAAGCACTAAGAAGCTAAAGCCACTTGGACATGAGTTCCATCCCTGTCCCAGAGGTGACCACATGGTGCAGCAGACCTTTCCTGTCTCACCTGCTGTGAGTGTACTTCATTGATCGTCCTGTTCTGCTCCCTGTTCTGTCTCTGGTGAATCCTCTCATCGCCCCTGCACCTCTGGCCTGTACTCTAGTTTGTATGCATAAGTAAATATGCCATCTTTAAAAAAAATTGCAGGGATTAGAGATAAACAGCAAATAGGCATACTCTATCTTTTTATTTCATTTTTTAAGAAATTAACAAAAGTATCTCCAACAGGTAAAGCCTCAGGTAATAAAAATGTAGTATTTGGGATTACCCTTACAAGTTCATTAAATCAGATGCATTAATATGAATCTAAAATCATGGGAAAATATATAGTTTTTATAATCTGTAAAGAAAAATAAGACTGAAAGTTTTGAGGTGCCTAATTAATCTCACATTTTATTTTGAAGATTGAATATTATGTTCATTAATAGTGAAGTAAATGCATATATGTGTGAGACAGGGTTTTCTCATTCTTTCAGGATTTCAGTGAAAAAGCAAACACAGTTCAGTTGGTATAAGGTTGATCAAATAGCTGAGAGACATTTAATATCCCTTTATAATTGATTCAGTGTCAAGTAGCCATATCATCAATGAGCTGGGAGTTTATCTGTTTGCCTTATTTCCACAGACAGAGCTTCTCATGCTGCTTGGCTCGGTCTCCCTTGGTTTTCCAGTTTCAGAATGTGTACTGACTCATGTGGCTGTATTTATATCCAAGACAGGAAATAATGAATGAAAGGACCTATAATTTGCTAGCTGTTAATTTTCCATTTGCTGCACTTTTTTCATTTGTATCTATTTGAAAAAAGCCTGCTTGTCATTTTCCAAAGGAGAAAAGTAAAACCCAATCTACTAGATAACTCTATAATGAACTTGTGGATGAATGTTAAAATAAAGCAAAATAATAACTACCCAAAAGCCATTAAACTCTCTGAGGCTGCATTATGTCCTGTGTAATCCCTTTCATTTCCAGAAATATAATGACAGTTTTGCCTTTTTATTTTGATAGAAAAATAATCAAATTGCTTTTTTCTCTAAGCTGTCGGGCGAAGTGACATGTGGTAAGACCTTGAAACTATTATATAAATTTTAAACTTACCAATTCATTCATTTAGAGGAAAAAAAAAAGAGAGAGGGAGAAACATGTCAGAGTCATTGGGACAGTGGCTTTTAATTGGAAATTTGCACTTATAGTATAAAATCTTAGAGTCTCAAGGTTGTTACTTCCTGATGGAGACAAAGTCATTGAGAAAAAAAAAAATCTAACTGGCTTTCTGTCAGTTTTCTGGTCATTTATTGAATTAGCACTGCCCAGTGAATGGAATTGTTGTAACTGTTAACATTATACTTTCACACAAGCACCACCCAAATGAGTTGACCAGATAGCTTTTACTCCAGCTTTCCTTTCCAAAATGCACAATTTTGTTCTTGCCTCCTGGTTGATAAAGGCACGCTACATTCAACTCCAACTAGGATTTTGGCAAAACTTACTTGAATAATTACCTGAGTAGCCATTAAATTTTATGTAACTTGGCAGTTTTGCAACTCTCAAATGAATTGCTTATTTAAAGATAGAAAAGCAAAAGAGCTGACTTTTTAGAGTAGATGTAAAATTAAGGTTTTTAAAAGTAGTCCATCTTTTGCTTATGCTTTTAAATTAAAATCTCTGCTATCAAGAGATCCCTTGTAATTAATGTGAAACATCATAATTGACAGCTCTTACCCTTTACTTTTACCAAAAATGATGGTGTAAATTATTGTAGTATATAAATTGGAATGAAATACAGTATGTTTATTATTAGAGTGACATCTGGTGTAATCGGGACTTGCTTAAATTCAGGTTGTATGATGCATTTATCTACCTGTCCAGTTTAGTTGGATTTTGAAACATGAATTTCTTTTTGCCACTGCCCTTCCAGATTCATCCTCTTTTGAGCCACTTACCATTCCCATCATTTTCAACTTCTGAGATTAACTGTAAACACCAACTCTGTCTAAAAATTATCCTTCTTGCAATCAAAAATGTCATCTTCCATTTTTAAGCTATGAGTCTTCTATTCTGAACTAGAGTTATAGTACTTTTGTTCATTGCCATTTAGTGAATGTATATTTGCATTTTTGTGCCTTTTCAACTAGATTAGAAAGTTTTTCATTTCAGAGAGAAATGTATATTAAATTCAAATTATTAAATTGGTATTTATGGCTTTGCATGATCTGCATGATCTGGTCCCTATTCACCTTCCATGAGTTCATTTATATGCACACATCATATATCTGATAAGGGGCTACTGTCCAAGATCTACAATGATCTCATGGAAGTCAACAAAGAGAAAACAAAAAAATCTAAAAAGAAAAAAATAGAAGAACTAAATAAGCATTTCCCCAAAGAAAATATACAAGTTACTAATAGGAACAACAACAAAAATAAGCATTATTAGTGTCAGAGAAATACAAATCAAACATACATGTGAAAAAAAGCCAGAAGCAACAAGAGTTAGAGAGCAAGTGAAGAAAAGAAATCCCAGTGTACTGTTAGCGGGACTGTGGCTAGGTCCTATCCCTATGGGAAATTGTATCCAAGTTCCTCAAAATATTAAAAGTAGAACTGTCAAACAATCTAGCAATTCCACTCCTAAAGTATTCACCCAAAGGATGCAAACTCTAATTTGAATCAATCCATGCACGCCTGTGCTCATTACAGCACTATTTGCTATTTATTTACCAGCGAAGTTATAGAAACAACCTCGGTGCCCAAAGACATGAGTGGATTAAGAAGTGGTGGTATATGGAAATGATGGGATATTTATTGAGCAACGGAAAGAATTGGATGCTTTTTCTGCTGATCTTGGGACACCATTGGGGTTCACTTAAATAGAACCTAATACAATAACTTAGTATTTATTCATCAGTTTGTTGGATTATGTCTTTTCAAAAACGTCTACAGTAAAAAATGTGCTTACAAAACTCAGGATTATCTTCTAAACCCAAAGATGAATCATAGTTGGTTCATAAAAAAAGGGCATGTGACCAAATTCTGGCCATAAGTAAAAGGTGTTCACTAGAGCTTCTTAGTTGACTGAAAATAGGCTTGCTTCCTACTTATGATGTTGCCTATCAAATGTCTTCTTCATTGGCCCTCCCAAAGATAACAACTGTTAACCCCACATGAAATACCAAGAGCAGCTACTCATGCTTGGAGTCACTGGGAAGTAGATCAGGAGGAATCTGGGAGGAAATGGACATGGAGAAGGAAATGACGTGTGAAATTTCAGGTTAATCCTGTCAGCCTGCAGGTGAGCCAGTCACTACTGCCCTGTATGGCTAAAGCCTTGACAGAAAATTCAGCTTCCTGAACTGGAGAACCAGAGGATAAACATAAGGGCGACCATAGGTGCTAGCAAGTGAGGAAGAATTCTATAAAAGAATGGGAGGCGTAGGGAGGAAATGACTCAAATTCTGAGTATGAACTTTGCTCAGATCTCTGGTGCATCCCTAAAACATACATGCACAGCCCTTATTCAAAGAAATGAAGCTAAGAATGAAATAACTGAATGGAAATTTGAACAGTTGCTGAAAAGACAGCACGTGAATATGGAGTTCAACCAACTAAACTGACTGCCAAAAGAGCAGCTGTAACAACAACAATAAAACTGTTTTCTGGGTAATTTAATCAGATCCAGAGCCTCAACAATGTAAGTCACAAATGCATAGTATGATCCAAAAGTATACAATGAGCAGAGAGCCAGTAAAATGTGCCTTCTCAAAAGAAAACATAAATACAGCATGATCCAAGACTGCAGATGTTGATTTAATACAAAAAAAGTTAAAGTAGTTATAAACAGAGCAATGAAGTAAAGGAAATGTATGTTTGCAATAAATAAAATAACAATAGTTAAACAAAGGAAACAAATTTTAAAAAACAAAGAAAAGCTTTAGAAATATCTTTCTAAAATTTTTTTTAGAAATAGTATCTTAAGAAAATACTGTTTTTTCTTTCACTAAAATACAAAATAAATGAATGAAGAGTACATCTTAAAAAGATAGAAAACAAGACTACATTTCAGTAAACAGTAAAACAAAAACTAGAAGGAAACACTAAGCTAATATACATCAAAATATGTGTGTATTAAAATTTTTATCTGATTGTTCTTCTTTTTAAAAACTGTATACAAAGTGTTAGCAAGGATGTGGAGAAAAAGGCGCCCTTTACATACTGATGGAAATGATGTAGCCCTTATGGAAAACAGTATGGCAGTTTCTCAAAAGATTAAAAATTATCTGCCAGGCCCTCCCGGGTGGCACAGAGAGTTAAAGCACAGCACTAAGAAGCCAAAGCTGCTTCAGCATGAGTTCGATCCCTGCCCTCCCTGGAAGTGACCCACATGGCGTGGCAGACCTCTCCTGACCCACCTGCTCCTCCCCTCAGCAGTGTGCTTTGTTGATCTGCCTGTTCTGCTCAATGCTCTGTTTCTGGTGAATCCTTTCACCACCCCTGCACCTCTGGCCTGTACCCCAGTTCTGTATGCACAAATAAATAAATTTTTAAAAAATGACCTGCCATATGACCCATTAATTCCACTCCTAGGTGTCTACCCAACTAAAGCAAAAACACAAAATTAAAGGGAAACTTCCATGCCCATATTCATTGCAGTACCGTATACAATAGCCAACCTATCAAAACAACCAAAATAACAAAGCACAAAGGAATGGATCAGAAAGATGTGGTGTATGTATCCAGTGGAGTACTACTCAGCTGTCAAAAAGATCGGCTCTTGCTGTTTGCAGCAACATAGATGGAGTTGTAGGGGACTTTGCTAAGCAAAATAAGCCAGAAAGGAAAAACCAAATACAGAGTGGTGTCGCTTTTATGTAAAATGTAGAAGAATCAAAGAAAGGGTCAGGTAAAAATCAAAGAAAGAACTAACATTAGAAAGCTGACTATAGACCTGAGGCTACCGGAGGGGGAGGAGAAGTGATGATAGCAAGGCAAAAAGAGAACACAATGAGCTACAGCGCTGGTCTATCAGTGCATTGACTGATGGTGTGTGCAGTGTGGTAAAACGCCTCAGGGTGAAATCCTATACTTCTAATACAAAATGAAAGCCCAAGTACAAATAGCAAGAATAATAAATATCTTGTGTGAAAGAAAAAACATAAAAACTGTGTGTTTGCATCTCAGTGAGTCATAGTTATAGATGTTTTATTAATTTTATAATGCGTCAAATAAAAATAGCTACTCTATATAATGAAGATATTCCCATTCAACTTTGTACTTGTGGGTACATAAAAAGAGCTCAGTAAATGCTTGTTTGATTAATAAGTGAAATAAAATGAAAGGATAACTATGTAATGATGACTGTTCTTCATTTATTATCTAATTTAATCACCACAATAATACTTCATTTAGTCAGTGAGTTTCTATAGACTATCTATTATGTGCCAGACACTTTGCAGTAAGTATCATTACCGTTGCCTTGTTGTTTAGTTATTATTGTTGTTATCATTACAGGCTTTAGTATCACTTGCAAAAAAAAAAAAAAGTAGGAATTATAGAAATCTCCAGGCATCTAAACTGCAAAGCTGGAGTTTTATTCTACAAACTGAGAATTTCAAACTGCCTCTTTAGTGTATTGACTGTCTTGCCACTTTCTTCCCCACAAACTGGTATTTGCTGATCTTTTTAAGTGAGTGTACTTTCCTTGCATGCTTGGTCATCTTTTTTTCTTTTTTAAGATTTACTTATTTATGCATCCAAGAGCTGGGGTGCAGGCCAGAGGTGCCGGGGGTTAGAGGATTCACCGGAGACAGAGTAGAGAGCAGAACAGGCAGATGCACTGTAACACACTGCTGAGGGGAGCAGCAGGTAGCGCAGGAGAGGTCTGCTGTGCCATGAGGGCCAGCTTGCTAGCCTGGGATTGAACTCATGCTGCAGTGGCTGCAGATAGCTTCAAGTGCTGAAACTTAAACCCTTGTACCAACAGGAAGGTCCCCACACTTCATCATCTTGCTTAGTTAATTTCTATTTATTTTTCAGATTTCTGCTCAGGAGGCATTTCTGCAAAAACCTTCTCTACTCTTCAAGTTAATTTATGTTCCCACTACAGCCTGAGACTCTTTCAAAACACTTACATAAATGCATTGACTAATTCATTAAATGTTTTTCCATTATTTTTCTTATTTTCTAACTGACCTCTTATAATGTATGACTTATGAGGACAAAGCCAATGTCATCTGAACTACTGTTAATCCTAGCATAGTGCCTAAAAAATATTAGATGCTCAGTAAATAGATATTCATTGAATGAGTAAATGTGGCAGATAAGTCATAAACTTTGAAGTCAGATATGAGTTCAAAATGATCTTGAGAAAATCACGCAACTTATCAGGCCCTAATTTTCTTCACCTGTAAAATGGAAATGATGAAATAATGATTATGAGAAAGATTTTAGTCAACTTCCTGTGACACAGGTGGCACTCATTGAATACATTATTTTCTATTTAAAAATATTTAGCTTATTGGTTATTACAACCAGGATGCAGAAAATGTCACATTTACTTGATTAAATCTATGAAAATTATAGACACAAAATTTAGAAAAAGATTAATAACCCTTGAGAGACAAAGAAAAACAAACCCTAACTTGTGACATGACTTAAAAATCTAGACTATTCTTATTTCAGAGATAAGATGTTTTACTTACGCTTATACTGAAGGTTGAAATTAAAATAGTCACTGATTTTAAAAACAAAGGCTAAAATTTTAAAGCATGAAATAATCCTCAAGCTCAGTGAAGTTGTAACAGAAACCAAAATAAAAGTTGTTTACTAATATTAATAAGGTTCTAGAAATGAGCAAATGACTCTAAAAATGAACAAAGACAACCAGGATTTGTACATGTCAGTGGGGTGGGGAGAGTTTTGCTCAGCAACTGTCTGAGGGTAGTCCTTCTCAAACTTAACAGGCATAAAAATCATCTGGTCTTCTTTCAAAAATACAGTTCCTGATCTAGTAGTATTAATTTGGCTTGAGCTTCTACATTCAACAAGCTCCCAGGTGATGTCATCAGTACGGGTTTAAAGGCTACGATTTGAATACTGAGTTATTGAAAAATGAGCAGCCTGAGGAAAATCGGGGGAAATAAAATTATTTCTATTTTCTACAGATTGTAAAAGAAATAAGATGAGTGTTACGTCCCAAAATTCATCTTGACCACTATATTTTGAAATGATCAGGATAACAATAGTCTATTAAGCTTTTTAAATATATATATATATATATATATATATATATATATATTTGTTCTTGAGGCTGATTGTAAGATTTATTCACATTTAAATGTACACTGTATTCAATTCATTTCAACAAATACTAATTCATGGATTCTATTCAAGAAGGATCAGGCTGAACATTTGGGAGTTTACTCCAATAAATCACACATGTCCCTGTGTCCCTGGCCTCTTGTACTTCCTAAGGGGTAAAGACACTGATTAAAACAAACAAACAAACAAAAAAAAAACCTCAGTGTCAAGTACTAAATATTTATTTAATATTGAGTGATAAATAATAACTTAGAAGAAAGATAACCAAGGAGCGAGCTATACTCTCCTATGACAGCATGGCTGAGGCTTCTTGACAGAGGAAGAATTTGAATTGTTTTTGAAAGACAAGTCATGTAAAGACAGGTCTTCTGGACTATGTGTTTCAAAGCTAGAGGCTACAGGGATGACTTCCCAGCAGCAGGTGAACAAAAGCCTCCACTGCAAGTTGGAGGCAGAAGTTTATCAACACTGTTTATAAGGAGTTTATAAGGCTACAATAAGAGAGTCAAGAGTTGGTGGTTTGATTACAACACTAAGAAACCAAATACCTACCTGCAGAGAAACATGTATGTACATGACACGATTGAAAGTAGTCTGTGTGTTGATCCTCTCTGGTGATGCAACGGGTTAAAGCACAGCACTGCAAGCAAGCTGCAGCTGCCTCAATGTGAGTTGGATCCCTAGCCCAGGGGATGACCCACATGGTGTGCAGACCTCTCCCGACATGCCTGCCTCTCCCCTCAGCAGTGCATGTACTTCATCGATCTGCCTGTTCTGCTCCCCACTCTGTCTCTGGGGAATCCTCTTACTGCCCCTACACCTCTGGCCTGCACCCAAGTTCTGTATGCATAAATAAATCTTTCCAAAAAGAAAAAGAGGGCCCTCCCTAGTGGCATAATGGGTTCAACCCACAGTACTATGAAGCTATCATAGCTACTGTATCAGTTCAATAACCAGTCCCAGAGGTGACCCACATGGCATAGCAGACCTCTCTTGGCCCACCTGCTGCTCCCCTCAGCAGTGTATTTCAATAGATCTGTTCCCCACTCAGTCTCTGGTGAATCCTCTAATCCCCTGCACCTCTGACTTGTACCCCAGTTCTTGCATAAATAAATAAATACATCTTTAAAAAGAAATTTGTGTCAGTATTGTGAAAGACACATGAACAGACTAGTTGGTGATGGGTTGCATTTGTTAGCAAACCACCATGGCTGGGGGAAGAAAGAAGATGACAAGGTGAGGACAACCTCAGAGGATACAGGACTTTGTTTAATGTGACAGGGGTTGGAGATATGACAACTGTGTTTTGAAAACAGACCTAATAAAATATCAAGAATTGGATGACAGAAGAAATGAATTTTCAAATAATAGTAGGCCGTCATTGGAGAGTGGCATTGACTTTGACTATGATGATGCAGTCGCTAACTCCCAGAAGTGAGCACTGAAGCTCCCAGCCAGACAGAGCAGCACCTTCAGCAGCCAAAGTATGACACCGAAGGGGTCCTCTTCCTTGCTCTAGGCCTACCATTGCACATTATGACTAGCAGAGTAAGCACAAAAGTCATTTGGGCAAAGACTGCTTGAGGAATATCGTGCTTTGTTTTCTTGACACGTAAGACCAACCAAGTCACATGAACTTTTCACTGGAATTGTGCTTTGTTCACTAAAAAGAGAATCAAAAACTCTTTGAACATGTTCCAGCTACTAAGAACAATAGCTTATTCCTGGGCCACTAAGGTCATGTTTATGATGGAAGAAGGTGGGAGTTAACTAGAGGTGGGGGTAGGAATGATTAAGCTGTCATTAAACCAGTGATTGAACTTTCACAAGCCAGGAATCAGAAGTGGGGGCGGAGAGAATTAGCAAATCCTTACAGCACACAAATCCAACCGACCCCAAAGCAATAAAATTCCTCAAAGTAATAAATTGCATTGCAGAACAATATATAAGGACATCCCTTGTTCTGGCAAACACTGTTCTTGTCCTGAGACCGCCTATTGTGTCTGTGCAAATGCCTTTTTTCTTTAATAAACATGCCAAGTGTTGGGGAACAGAAATGGACTGCTCTTTCTCAGCGGAATCAAGGATCCTTTTATCCCCAACCCACATACACACCAATCTCCAACATTCAGATCCCGCTGTACCAAAAAAAAAAAAAAAAAAAGTGGATTTTTTGGGGAAGAGGGAGAAGGAGAGAGTGTTGCAGCAATTTCTGCATTAGAGGAATACTGCTTTTCTTTTAAAATATACACGTTTCTAGTATAGCAGGAAAAAAATAGGACAATTTTAGTGTTCTGGAAGCTAAAGCTGATGTCACTTAGTGTTCTTTGTTCCCTGTCCTGCCTGGCTTTTTTTTTTAAGTTATTTCACTCATGTATATTCAAAGCAACAAACTTAAATCTTTTCATCTTCAATAGCTTTCATTGTGGCCTACATCAGAGAATTTTTAGAAGAAATTTGGCTGGCCTTGCAGGGTTATCTTGGGGGATAACTTAGGCAGTCTGTGTGGAGTTCCTTGAACGCAGTCTGTTTTACATAAATGTTAGCTTCCTCCTTCGCTGTTTTAGGACACTGAGGTGAGATGGAACTTAACGTGTTACTAAATAAATGCCTTAATTGAGGCTGCATATTTCCCAGGGAAGGTTTAAGGCTAATTTAAGATAAGAAATGATCTCTATCTTAGTTTAATACATACCTGGTATAAATAATACCCTGATCTTTTGATCACTTAATTTTATTTTAATGAACATTAGTTTGTTAGATTCTTATAGGAAGAATAAAATTTTTAAGAGAAATCAGCTTTTAAGACCACCCTGGCGATGCAGGATGTTAAGAAGCAGCATTATAAAGCTCTCCACAACCACTGCAGCATGAGTTTGACCCCAGCCAGGGAGCTGACACACATGGCACAGCAGACCTCTCCTGTGTCACCTTCTCCTCCCCTCAGCCATGTATTTCAGTAGATCCACCTGTTCTGCTCCCCACTCTGTCTCTGGTGAATCCTCTCACCTGCCCTGTATCTCTGGCCTACACCCCAGCTCTCATATGCATAAATAAACCTTTAAGAAAAAAATGAAGGAGCCCTCCCTGGTGGCACAACAGACTAAAGCACCACACTAAGAAGCTAAAACCTCTTCAGCATGAGTTCAATCCCCACCCACCCCGGAGGTGACCCACATGGCACGGAAGACCTCTCCTGACCCCTCAGCAGTGTACTTCGTCAGTCGGCCTGTTCTGCTCCCCACTCTGTCTATGGTGATTCCTTTCTCCACCCTTGCACCTCTGGCCTGTACCCCAATTCTGTATGCATAAATAAATAAATATTTTTTGAATCAAAAATATTTTAAAATAAAATATTGAGCTGAACTGGCTCTAAGAATCAACCAGTTTCTCATTTTACAGATGAAAAAAGTAAAACCACCTAGAATGTATGATACATAATAAGAAAAAAAGTACAGATAACAAATAAGATTGGAAGCCTTTAGTATAAGCATGTATATTAAATTATATTAATGATCATTTTCTCAAAGTTAATGTAGAAAATGCATTTTCTTATTTTTAACAGTTAAATGTAACTCCATAATTTTGTGATTATTCTCATGAGTAGCAGCTACCCTATAAACTATATTGAATACATGTACATATGTATTTATAAAATATAAAGTAAGCAATAGCACAAAATTAATATTTTTTCTCTTCTAGCATCCTCTAGTAACAAAGTATGTTCAAGGGTGAGTCAGTTATGAAGTCTTTAGGCAATTAGTAATAACACTTAATGAGTCATGTTTTAATAACAAAGATGAATATGACTTTAAAATCACTTCACTCTTATTTCCAAACAGAACTTTGACTTCTAAAGGACCTAGAAGACAGGGGCTTATCAATTCAGAGGCATGGTTTTCTAACTGCTCTTGCTTTGAAAGAGGCGATCGATACTAAAATGACGACTCTAAATGTCATCATTTGCCTTCTTTATTATTTGTAGTATAATTTACTTTTCAAATATTTTAGAGAGATATTTGAAATCATGGGCTGAGTGCTGACAGTTTGGAAGTTGTAATCTGCAATATTTCTGCTCAGACGATATTTTCACCTAAAACACATTTTAGCATCCACTCGCTGGCTTTGCTTCACACTTGGGCTGAGTCCTTGCCAATTTGAACATATGACAAGCAAAAGTGTGTCGTGGAGTCCTCACTCTTGTTTTGTGAGGTAGCTCCCTCTGAGAGAAAGAGTATTTAGTTTGTTCAGGAAAAAAATACCTAAATAACCAAGAGTTAACTCAGGCAAACCATTTGTAGGTTTGTCAGTTTTCTGTTTGCTGTGGTGCTCTTGTGACATTTTATCTGTTTGGTGGGGAGACTGTGTTGCCCTCAAAGGAAACGCTAGCCAGTTGGGTGTTTTAAGTGAGGCCATCTATTCCAATAAGCTCCACTTTTAAACTTCAAACACTTGTAACTGTCACATCTTTCTCTTCTTACATAAGACTGATGGAAAAGTTACATAAACCCTTACCAGTTTCCCTTACTTCATTCATAGTATGGATCCAGCCCAATGGAAAATAAGAAGCTTCATCTTAGTACTAGGTGGGAGAGTCCTAATTACAAGTAATAAGAAAGTTAGGTCCTCCCTGGTGGCGCAGCGGGTTAAAGCACAGCACTAAGAAACTAAAGCCACTTCCGCATGAGTTCGATTCCCGCCTTCCCCGGAGGCGACCACATGGCGAGGCAGACCTCTCCTGACCTGCCCGCTGCTCCCCTCAGCAGTGTACTTCGTCGATCTGCCTGTTCTGCTCCCCGCTGTCTCTGGTGAATCCTCTCACCCTCCGCATCTCTGGCCTGTACCCCAGTTCTGTACGAATAAAT